CCATTAATTGTAATATAATTTTATTAATATTTTACAATCTTAATTTGAAAAAATATATATATATATATATATATATTATTATCTTTTTCGGTAGAAGCGGCTGCGCATCTTCTATAAATAGAGCCAGAATTCTCCAAAGCCATATATAATAATTACAGTTCCTTCCTTCAACATCGAACAGGATTATACTATCAAACATCCACTCTATCTTTCTGTACCTACAAAACAACTAGAAGAGAAGAGAAGAGAAGAGAGACAGTTATGGAATCGGAAGGCTTCATTTTCAAAGCCCTGGTTTTCTCTTCTGTTCCACTGATTATGGTCTTCTACTGTGTTTTGAGAGTTGTTTATTCCATTTGGTGGAGACCCAAAACCCTTGAAAAGCTCTTAAAGCAGCAAGGAATCAGAGGAACCTCCTACAAACTTCTTTATGGTGACATCAAAGAGATTAAGAGGTTGACCCAGGAAGCATGGTCCAAGCCGATGCCTTTGAACCACCAGATTGCCCCACGTGTCTTCCCTTTCTTTTATCACATGGTGCAAAAATATGGTAAGAAAAAGTTTTTTTTTTTTTTTTTTTTGGTATAAAAAAAATTGCACATAAACCTATCTAGTATCTACCACACACAAGTACTGAAGATAACAAAACACGTCTATGTGAAAAGTTGTACATATGTGTGGCACATTTTGAATTGATTTTGTGGTCCAATTTTAATTTTTATGGTTGCTAATTATGTAAGATATGTGTGTGTGCGTGTGTGTGTGAAACAGGAAAAATTTCAATGACTTGGACAGAAAGAAGACCAAGGCTGATAATAGCAGAGGCAGAAATAGTGAGGTTGATATTAAACGGAGATTTTGAAAAGCCACCGCTCAACCCTCTTTTGGATCTTCTCACACTGGGAGTCAACACCTTGGAAGGAGACAAATGGGCCAAACGCAGAAGATTGATTTCCCCTGCTTTCCACCACCACAAACTACAGGTGTCACTTACTCCCTCTCATTCCTTTGTTTACTCTTTTTCTATCAAAATGGATTATGGATTCTATGTAGCTTAGGTAGTATTATAAAATGGATATTTTATTATGAAAATAGGGGATGGTGGCACCATTTTCAACAAGTTGCTGCAAACTAATTGATGGATTAAAGAAGCTGCTGCTTACTCCTCAAGGATCCTCTGAGCTCGACATTGCAACCGAATTACAAAAATTTTCTGTGGATGTGATTGCTCGAACAGCCTTTGGAAGCAGCTGGGAAGAAGGAAAGCAGATATTTGAACTTCAAAAAGAGCAAATTGTGCTTGTGATCGAGGCATCCCAAGCAATTTACTTCCCTGGTTTGAGGTACCAATTCAATTCCATTCCATTCCATTCCATTTCACACACATGAATTTTGAATATCGATCATCATCATCAACACATGTAAAATGAAGGAACTACTTTTCTTAATTCTCAAATGAATGAATGAATAAATTTTAAACAAAAACAGATTTGTACCTACTAAAAAGAACAAGAGGAGATACGAGATTGACAACAAGATCAAAGGAATGTTGCGGGATATGATCGAGAGGAGAGAAGAGGCAATGCGAATTGGAGAGTCGGAGGAGAATGATGACTTGCTGGGATTGTTGCTGCAGTGCAAACAGGGAGTTGATAACGAGATGAGTACAGAGGATGTGATTGAGGAATGCAAGCTGTTCTACTTTGCAGGCCAGGAGACCACTGCTAACTGGCTGACGTGGACAATCATCCTCTTGTGCATGCACCCTGAATGGCAATCGAAGGCAAGAGAGGAGGTCCTAAGGTTGTGTGGCAAAACAACACCTGACCTTGAAACTATAAAACACCTCAAGATTGTAAGTGGTGTTTTGTTTTTGTTTTTCTCATTTTTCACTCTTCTGAAAATGAAATGATTGAGCAGGGAGGGAGGGAGGGAGGGAGGGACTAATGGCAAATTTGAAATGTCGTATGCATTTATATATATATGTAATCCCTTTTTGAAATAAAAAAACATGTTTTTCGTTTGTTTGGCAGGTGTCAATGGTTCTACATGAAGTCCTAAGGCTATATCCACCAGTGACGGGTCTATTTCGATATACTAGGAAGAGAAGCAATATTGGGGGGATGTGGATTCCTGAAGGGGTAGAGTTATACTTGGCTACAATGATGCTGCATTATGATCCTAAATATTGGGGAGAAGATGTGGAAGAATTCAAACCGGAAAGATTTTCAAAAGGAGTCTCAAATGCAACAAAGGAGGGTGAAAATACTGCATTCTATCCATTTGGGTGGGGACCTAGATTCTGCCTAGGCCAAGCCTTTGCTATGATTGAAGCAAAATTGGCTCTGGCAATGCTTTTGCAGAATTTTTCATTTGAGCTCTCCCCTTCTTATACTCACGCCCCCTACACCGCTATAACTCTTCAACCACAACATGGAGCTACAATTATACTCCACCAAATCTAAGTCCAACTCCAATAAATAAGTCTGAGTCCAAGTCTAAGTCATTTATATGCGAGAAATAATAAATTCGACTGAACCCATCAACATTTTTTTGTTGTTGGATTAGTGAAAATAAGTTGCGGGAGGTGAAAGGGAACAGTTTTATATTGTTGTGTTATGCTATTTTTATTAATGTAAGCTTTCGATTTCAAGAGTTTGAATCTATATATGGTTTTGTTCATATTTTCCATCTAGCTCTGAAGGTTGTGTTTACTGTTGATAAATTAACCAGTCTAGCCCATTACAGAATGCAGAAACTAAAGCACTAGGGAAAGTTACAATAAATAAACATATTACTTTGATAATTTGAGGCATTCTTGAGATGATAGAGACACATAAAAGGTGAGCACAAAAAAGAGTAAAAAAGCTCATTAATTTCATAAAAATTCATACATAACAACCCTCATCCACTTCTAGGAATTCTCTCATCCACTCCAAGCTCGGAGGTCCTTCCTCAAAACAATCAAATAATGCGTCTCCATTCTCAATTAAGTTAATTTTTGAGTTCTCATCTATTTTAGATGTTCCCTCATCCTTAACGATTCCTGCTGCCTTCTCTGTCTTTATTTCTTTAGTTTTTTGCAGTTTTTTATATGCTTGTGTTGTTTTGCTTATCTTTCGCTTCGATTGGAACCTTAATTTCTTGCTCAAACGGGAATTCCAATAGTTCTTGATTTCATTGTCAGTCCGACCAGGTAGTCTTCCAGCAATCAAAGACCACCTACAATAAACATAAGACAAATGAATTTTTGTAGGCAACCACTCACACTTGGTTCATATATATGTCTTAGATGCCTTTTCATTCAGGTTGAATGTCTTTAAAATTCTAACTTGGTATTAGAGTTAGGTATTGGATAGTTTTTTGGGTCAGATGTTCATCCCGGGTCTATTTTTCTCATCTCTGTCTTTCCTATCACATCCTCATGTAACCAGACGGAATGTTCAAAAGCACAATCTAGAGGTCTCTCTGCCTAATACTAAGTAATTTTGGGTTAGATAGTTAAGAAAATTATTGACACAAGGCAAATGTAACGAAATAATCATCCAAATCATAAACATATATATACCTGTTCCCTAGAAGTTTATGAAGCCTGAGTATCAAGTCCTTTTCTTGGTCTGATATGTTGCCCTTCTTGATGTTGGGTCTTAGATAATTCAACCATCTCAATCTGCAACTCTTCCCGCCGTGACTCAAACCTGAAAGAAAACATCAAAGCTAAGAGACCTTGGTTGTTGTAACTTGCGATGGGTTAGAGGATACATATGCATGGGATGGATGAGGAGTGAGTGAGTGAATGAGGACCTGCTTTGACAGCAATTGATTCCCAGCGTTTTGAGCCATATGTTTCGATGGCTTGGGACAGTTTTTGGTCTTCCTCAGCGGTCCAAGATCCTCTGTTAGGGCGCTTCTTGGTGCATTGGCTGTTGTTCTTAGGAGCCGCCATTGTCGACATTTTGCTCTTCTTTGCCTGCTTTCTCTGTGCAAGACTCAGTGGACTCTATAACAAGCACTGGTGTTTCCCCTTGGTCGGTGATGCTCCACAGTGAAACTGTATGTGTGGTATAGAGGGGTGAAGAGATGGGGGAGTATACCCAATCAGTAGACTCTATCTACCCTTCTTGGAAGAGTTGTATACCCAGTCATCCATTTATTTATAAATGAGGGAGTCCTAGAATCCGTTAAAAAAGAAAAAAAAAATCATACGGGTGTTAGCTCACACACTATGAAACCCATCATATATGAGAGGGTGCTGTTATATCTGGTTTTTATTCTTTGGTGGTTGTTTTTTGTTTTTTTTTTAATAATTATTTTACACATGCCCATCGATAATACGTATATACATATTAATCTGTCATATGATCTCAGTTAGCATATGTGAGTTGAGTTGAGTGTGCATGTGATTGTGATTGTGATTGTGATTGGATCATATAAGTCGCACGATCATAAATATTCTCCTTATTATTGCAGTTGCACAAGCACTATATGGTGACACAACAGTTAGAAATTAGGATTGAGAATGGGGGAGGGGTACGTATATATATGGACAAATCAGGAATTACATTCAATTACCAATTCAGTTGTACCCATTTCACCGAATAATTTAATGTTGTTTATTTTATCTATTAATCATATCACGAAGAACGAATAATAAAAGGTACACCCCCAAAAGAAGACTGATAAAGCTTAAATAATTGCATTCTTGTGAGAGTACTCCATCCCATCCACTCTTTCACTCCATGGATTGTGATTTCTTTGTTTTTTTCTTGTCAACCAATTCTGGCCCTGTCATTATTCTGTTTATGTTTTCTTCCCCGCACTAATTATTGTCCAATGCCTTCCATTACATTTTGGTTTATTTTTCTGGACGGTCAGTTTGTTTTCCATACAATACAAATGAGTAATTGTTGGTAAAAATTTAGTTTATGTCTAATCAATAATGATTTGATCGACAAGTTTAAACCAATCTTTAAGTAAACACAAATAAAAATCAAGTTTTGTGGTTGAGTTCTATGCCTTAAACAGATTAAGGACTTCTCCGGAGGTAATTAGGCAAAGAAGAAATACAACAAAAAAGAATATGTATTAATTCGAATGAATTATCACTTATCACTAGTTACAAGAACTTAAACAGAAACAGAATATTCAAGAAATACGTCAATCGATAGAAGAAAAGAAGAGAAGTAGGGGTTGGAAAAATCTACTAATTTTAATCAACTCTTAAAATACTAAGTTAAACTACTCTTAGATAGACTCTTTATGAGTGTATTTGGTGATTGAGATGTCTCTTGATCATTCTTCAAGTCCTCCTTTTATACTTATTTGGCTACCTCATGTTTGCTCCACTCAACCATATCCCATATCTTCATAGGAACCACTTGCAGATTTTGTGTTTTGACTTGATATTGATTTCTTCGATTTTAGCATATGGTTTCTAATTTATTTCAACAAATATCTTTATTGGCTTTATTTAATCTTTTCAAGCCACATCATCATCTCTTTCATGCTACGTTACTAGCATACTTGTTACGCCATGTTCGCATACTTGTCGACAGAAATAATAATAAAAAAAATAAATATAGCCAATGTTATTCTTAAAAATAGTTATGGTCTTAATCGACAGACCATGAGAAATCTAAAATTCTCGAGATATTGATTTGTGATTATATATCAATTTTAAGTAGTAAATAACCATCTCAATCAAACAATCAAAGACAAATCAGCACAACGATTTAATGTGTAAAAATCACAATTGGAACACCCCCAACTGTGATAAAAAAAAAAAAAACCCACTAGCAAAAGTCACAAAACAATCCACTAAGAAGATAAAAAAGAATTATACAAGTGTATCCTTAATTACTTAGCGAATCTACGCCAGTATTGAACCGACCCCTATATGTCTCTTCCACCACCGTCTTCACCTCGAAATTGTTTTGCCCAATGTTAAATCCACAACGCTGATATCGAATCCACGATGATGAGCCACTCTAGAATCTACCATCGAAGAACAACTCTCTCTTTTGTGAATAAAACAAACTAAACAAACCCTTTGATATAATCCACTTAATTTATGATTAAACTCTCACAGATATCAAAGGAAACAAGCAAAGAAGCGCTAGATGAAAAAACCCTAGTACCAAGAAAAAGATCTGGAAGCTGTGTCCTAAAAACAGACTAAAACGCAGATTTATAGTAATCAGAATCGCGATCTCCGCTCGAGCATAAGAATGGCCCTCGAGCGGGGTGACTAAAACGCGTGTTTCAGAACATGGATTGACGCTCGAGCGGAAAAAAAACAACTCTCAGTACTTTTACAGGCGAATGAAACTTCTGAAAGGATTGCAACTCCCAGCTCGATCCCAACATAGTCAGCAAAGTGACAAACATAAAAGAATTAACATCACAAACTCCTCTACAAGGCACAATTCGAGTTGGATTCGCATCTAAATACTCAAAGCCTCACTGAAATAAAGAAACAAATAAAATTACAATTGAAAGAAGTTTTGTTAAACGGGATTACTAATAACAAATACCTAACAAACCATAATTGAACTTTGCCATAATCGACAAAAATAAAATGTAGTGCAAACATGTCACGACCCAAACTCGTCCCTAAGGGTTTAACATCGTAACCGGCCAGTAATCCGTGATTATTAAAGACCTGCTTAACAGTAATAACAATTATACAATAGGAGGGGCCAGCAGAAGCCTGTAAATTTTAAAACATAAGCCTGTATATATATATATATATATACCAATACAGACATAAGTCCAAGTCCATATTCAACATATATGTAAAAACTAAAGTCCAAAACACGTCTAAGTACAAAACAAAAGATATGTCGGGGAATTAAATCCCAAAGCCAAAACAACTTATGAAACATTCACTTGACTCCATATGGCATTCATTCAAAAGATGTGGATTTAGACCACCCAAAACAAAGCCTTTACAATAACGGTTTGGAACCTCGTAGTGAGGCACAGTGGGTTGGCTTGACAAAACGAAATTAGGCTGACGCCCCTAACCTTGCTCCAGTGCCTGATCACCTACATATATACAAGAAACTGTGAGCTAAATCCCAGTGAATAACGAATGTGTAAAGGGTTAAGAATGAATGTCCTTTCAGTAATTAAAACAGTCAATTGCATCTATAGATCAGTTATTCGATCAATGTTTCATATTTCATGTCATATCAGTCATTTAGAAATTATAGCAGTCATACGTGGTACATCCATTAGCAGAACAGTACAGTAGGTCTTAATAGACCGAACAGTCAGTTGATGTCCATCAATACAATAGCAATAGTTCCAAGGATAGGAACTGACAGAAATCTCTGTAACAGTAGCAGTAGCAGTAACAGTAATAGTCAGTCGCTATGGATGCCACGAGTATAGTTCATAAAATAGGATAAACATTCATTTGGTAAACAATGTCATTTCAGAAAACAGTACAACCAATCGTTTAGGAAATAATTATAATTGAATATAACTTTACAACATTGTTACTCACAGATGGCTCCGCTAGTAGATCAGATAATGCAGACAATTCAGACAAATCAGGCAAACGATAGCGCGTGACCTACACAAGCCTATAACATATACACATTGAAACACAATATCACTTTCTTGATCAAACTTAACTTTTCTTGTCTAAGTAACCCGAAGTTCTACTATACTTATTCTTTTTTACTCAAATAAACCGGGTTCTCATTTCATATATTCTTTTATTACTACATCTTTTTTTTTTTTTTTTTTTTCAAATAGACTAATTTCTTACTTGGTTTCTGAATAAATTACTACTTAATCAATAACTCACGATGTAGCCAATTAATTTATGTTAATTCTTAGTTTATTAATCTTGATTCCAAAACTTAGGCTCTTGCATGAACCAATTTAAACATGTAATTTTATTAATAAAGATGAACCCATGACTAATTTTCCAATTTCTAATATAAAAATCTCTTCAATCATTAAGATTAAAACCAATAATTTCATGAATATACTAATTCCAACATTTTTCTTCTCTGTTTTATAAAATATAAATTAAAGCTATAAAGTCATTTCAAAGTATTTACATGTAAGATATTTAAATCAAAATCAAACTAATTTTTTATTTTCAAATATAAATTATAATTTATTTCTATATTGATTAACCTTAACCATGTTCATGAATTAATTCTTTAATTCCTCCAAATTACATGCATGTAGAAATAAAATTCAAATTCGTATAAGACATTCAAAATCAAACCCAAAATGATTAATTTTCCAAATTAACTTCTTTAATTTTGAACCTAACTTAATTTCTTTATCCGTCTTGCTAATTCCTTTCAAAATATCAAATTAAAACCATAAAACTTATAAAATAAAACTTATAGAATAACAGTTGTATGTACAAAACTAAAATCAAAATCAAATCATAATTTTGTTCTCTAACTTATCCTAATTTAGATTTAATTTATTTTCTCCATATCAAACTCAATTTCAAATCCACAAATTTTAAAACATGAATTAAACTTCAACACTCTTAAAAAATTCATAATGCATGTACAATTGAAGCTCAATTTCACGTTAAGACAACTAAATTCAAACCCAAAGTGATTAATTTCTAAGTTAATTTCTATAAATTTGAACCTAATTCCATTGCATGGATCAAATCTTCAATACACCATTATTGCATGTAATTTTTATAACACAATTCAAGAATGATTCTCAAAATTAAACTCAACTTCACAAATTTAAAGTATCATAACTCATAATCTTCAACCGAACTTGATTTTACATGCAAACCCAATTTCTATCAATTTATATAATTGATTCTCAAATCTTCATTTTTAATCCTCTCAAAATTCATCTTAAATCAATTTATGTCTAGATTATTTAAACAATACTAAGAAGATAATGGAATTTCTTACTTGAAGATGAATTTTTCATAATTTTAAGCATGAGTCTTGGTATCCCACAAGGCTTTCTTCTTCTCTTTCTTTCTTTCTTTTTTTTTTTTTTTTTTTTTTC